GAATGCCTGGTGAGCATCCCGCAGGAAACCCCATCCCGCGAGTGCCCAACGGTTGGATGCGTTGGGTGCGTTAGACCCAAGAACAGCTCAACCGGCTCAAACCAAAGGCAGTAACTTTTTGTGATGATAATTTGGTGGGGTTTTGGCCAAGATCTGCTGTCATGGCTGATGCTGGCAGCCCTGTGTGTGTTTTGCAAGTGGAAAAATCAACTCTCTGCGCTGTTTCCACTGGTATCTTTGCATCTTGTGCCTATTTACTAGGAGTATTTTTGATACTATCCATGCTGCTCTGGAAGTTCCTTTGCTCCTGTTTCTACTCCTCAAACAAATGATTTGGGAAAAATCTCCCAACTTTTCAGTCAGCATCTCCACTTCCAAAAAGATATTTTATGGAATATAGAATATGATACTTTAATAATGCATAGATCAAGTTCGACAGAAGCTGCCTGTCAGTTTTACTAACTTTGACCTTTTATCCCATTATAAAAATGGTTTGGTTAAATATTTAATGGGCCCTTATAGATTTTGACAGTTGGAAGCGTAGTAGATTCTATATGTTTGTAGTTAGTAACAATAGCTTAATCACTGAGAATCAGACTTCAAGGACAATTTAAATATATATGTATTAATTTTAATTCCTGTCTTTCTTGTGTCTTGACATTAAATGTCCAGCTGGCCAGGACATTTTGAATGTTTTTAAAAGGATAAGATGGGGTTTTCTGGTTAGCACCCGTGAGACCTCTGTCTTTGAGCAAGTGGCTAAACGATGGTTTTGTTTGAAAGACCCGTCACAACCGGGTCAGCAGCACGAAATAGCCGAACGGAGGCTGCCTTGAATAGGGTGCAGAAAAAGGGAAGGAAAAGCATGTTCCTGGAGTCCCAGGGCCCTCTGCCGAGGCAGCTTTTCCCTTTAATTCCCTAAAACCTGCTGCGTATTGCACACGCTGCACATTCTGGTAGTGCAGATTGAGAACTAAGCCCCTGACACTTTGAAGCATCGCCTCTCAAGTGCGCGCTGTCCATTGCGCTCATTGATTCCCCCCCCTTTTTTTTTTCATTTCAGAAATCTGTAGGAGAGAAACAATCCAAATATAACTCCTCAGCCAAAGCAGAGCTGCCGGGGCTCTCCCGTCCCCGGCTGCGCGTTTGGACTCTCCTCAGGAGCTGCCCGCGCTCCGGGGCGCGTGGTGGAGATTCGGCAGCCCCTTAAGCCCTTGTGGATGCTCTGAGCATTGCCACTGGAGCCAGCCTGGCTCACTGGAAAGTTTCCCCTGTATTTATAGCCCTTTTGCAGTCCAGCGCTTTACCTGGCTTTCTTTTCCTCCTTTTAAGGTTTTTAAGAGGTCGTTTCCTACCGGCAGCTTTTTCTCTCCAGGGGTCAAGGGATTAGTTTTCTTAACTTGTAAAACCATTAACCTTTTCTGGAAGGAGTCTTTAGAGGTCCTAACGAAAGCCTTGCTGTGGCACACAAGGAACTGCATTTCTCTGATACTGAATCTTGAGCTTTTTATTTTCTTCTCGTTCTTGGGAGGAATTAAAGTGGATTGAAGCTGTTCACATGCGAGTTGTAACTTGTTGCACTTGAGGTTGGTTTGAGGGCAGACCCAGTGTTGTGGTGGTTCCTAAATCCACAGACAGTGGATCTCAGGCACTTGAGGTTGGTTTGAGGGCAGACCAGTGTTGTGGTGGTTCCTACATCCACAGACAGTGAGAACGCCTCAAAATCTCACGACTTCACGTGTGGATTTCTTTCACTGACAAGTAAAATAAAAGGGTAGTGGAGAAACCTACTGTATGTGAATCTGCCAGTGGCAACGGTTTGGAGTGTGGTGTTCACCACTATCCCGAAGCCCTAGGGTCTTCTCCCTTCAGGAGATTTAGTGACTCAAGGATGTCCTTTGAGTTAAGTGCCTTTATGGCATAATTTCCATTCATTTCTGTACTGGTTGATATCATATCTCATCCAAACAATATGCGAAATACCAGGCATTAACTGCCTGGCTGTCATTTTGATCAAGTCTGTGTGTACCAAGGGTAGAGGTGTGGCACAAAACTGCAGTGGGCGACTGTTTTAATACATATCTTTTTATTATCTAGTTGCAGTACCATGCGGGGCTCGCGTCTGGCCTTTTGAATCAGCAATCTTTGAAACGTTCTGCCAACCAGATGGGAGTATCTGCAAAACGCAGACCAAAAGCTCAGCCTACAACTCTGGTCCTGCCTCCTCAGTAAGTAATGGAATATTTTGTAGAGTTGGCATCATAGGTGAGATTTTCTTGAACTTCTTAATTATTTTAATTAAAAAAATGAGTGATAACTTCCTGCTTGCAATTTTATTCTAGAAAGGTCAACAACTAAGATTGCTTGGGCTTGTGGCATACTCTATGGAAATAGTATCTTGTTTTCCCCTTTATAAAGGGATTTTGACAGCAGAAAAGTAAGGATTCTTCTTTGGAGGTAGCATCATAAGCTTTAGCAACACACAGTTGTCATTGAGGCAAGATGTTCCCTTCATTAGTATTACTCAAGGCTTCAAGCAGGACATTTTCTGAAGGTCCTAAAAGGCTGAAGCCAAAAAGTCTTTGGTGTGAGTTCTTTCTTGACAAATGTCTGTTCTGAGTCCATCTGTTCACCATATGTTAATTTTGTATCAGATCTAAACTCTTTTACAGGTGACAAGCAATTATGAGGACACTTAGAAACTGTTTAAGGACACAGGCTATCAACACTTCAGGCAGTCTGTGTACTGATGCCAAAAACAGATGCCCACAACTAAGCTTATAAATTAATAAAATGCTTAAAAAATTTAGTTACATATAAGAAAAAGATTATTATGTAGAAAATGAAGCACTGAGGAATTATTCATTGTATTGAACATCCTTGAAGTTTGTGGACACTGTCCGCTTTTTTCACAGAACGCGAATCATTGATGTATAAATATTTCTACCAAAAACTTCATAGCTGTAATAAGTCCCTGGTATCAGAGTCCACAGGCCTAAATTCATGAAGGAACCAAAGAAAGTCTGGACTTTTTCCCAAAATGAGATCAGATCACAATCACCAGAGATTCCCCCTTGCATATTAACTTTAACAAGCTGCTAATTCACGAATCCATAAAATGCTCTATCGCTTACCAATACTGCTAGGAGAAGAATGATTAGAAGGCCAGCTTTAGCAGGACCACAGCTTTGGGAACTCAATATTTTCCGTTAGGCTGCAGTGGTAAATTATGACACATGTTGGCTAATTAATGTCATTGCTTTGTAAGTGCGTTTTTTCGGGGTGTCAAATTTCTCAGCTTAAAAAGGAATTTTCTAATTGAAGTCCATAACCATTGAGTGCTTGTTATTGAGTTGTCAGAGTTTTTAAGAGGACTTAAAATATTTTTAATCATGGTGTCTCCATTTGATCATAATACACATAGTGAGAGAAGGAGCTAGTCTCCTTTTTTTTGCATAAAAATGTCTTACATATTTCATGTCAAATTGAAAACTCTAAAAAGAGTTGCATCTGTATAAATTGTAATGGGGAGATGTATAACAAACACATTAAAGGTTTGTATATGTCTTTATCTGCGTGTGTTATGTGTTTCGTTCAATGGTGCATTCACCTAGAATTTGTAGATACTTGAAACATCAGCAGCAATTTTGAATACCAAGTTGTCTTTTTTTTTTATACAACTGTTATCAGTTTAATCGTGTTTTACTTGCTGATCTTATCTGAAGGCTTCCAGTAGTTGCTGAATTTTGGCAGGCTCTAAAGCGTCCGGTGGCATCTCACCAGCTCTCTCTGTATCTCCATTTTGAAGAGGCCTTTGGTGCTTGTGTTTGCTTTTCCGTGCTGGCTTTCCTTGACTCAGAAGGAGGAGAGAGGAATGCTAGATTGATCCATGTCTTATTTCTAGCCAAATGGATCTGTATGAGGCAATGACTAACTGCTGCCTTCTCTCTTTCTCCGTCCCCCCTTCTGCCGTCCCTCTCGCGTACCCGCTCGTCACCGCGTTCCCTCACGTTCCTCTCATCTGGCTCCTGCTTCCCGCCTTCTGGCGGAGGCTCCGCGCGCTGTTTGCTCGAGTGCTGAAAAACAAGGCAGTGTCTTCTGCTCTAAAGAACAGCCAAGAAACAGCAGCTATTGTGTTATTTCTTTTCCACCCTTGAAATGTAGTAACATGCACAATTAATTGTGTTTTATTTCGTTTGGCACCACGTGCTGAAAGCGAGTGCCCGTTGGCTGCGGGAAGCCCCAGGCCCCCTGTGTGTGGTGGCCCGCGCCAACGCGGCGGCCCTGACACTGTCACCAGCTCCATGTGGCCCTGCCAGCTGAGACCCGACATGCGCGGAGCACCGAGAGCGGGTGAGGAAGAGGGGGAAGAGAGGCCACAAGAGGCTGCTTGTGCTCTCACACTTGTACCCGCAGGGAGAGTCTCCTAGGATCAATAGGAAATTTTAGGGGTCTCAGCTGAAAAGCCCGTGACCTCAATAGCTCTGGTGCATGGGGCTTTCTCAGAGCTCCCAGATGATGCATTTATCTTTCCTTGATTGGGAAGGAGTGACCAGAGCAAGACCTTCCTCGCAGCGGTAGTGCTGAGACTCTTGCCCTCTGTGATTCCTTTTAGGGTGATTTGCTGTGACATTTGGAGTTCAGGGGGAGTAAGAGCACTAAGCAATGGAAGTCTGGTTTGTGTTTGACTTCACGCTCAATGTGTAAGGACCGTTGGGTAAAAACGAGTCTCTTTTTGTTTTGTTTTTGGGCACTTCAGCTTGTCCTGTAAATCTCTTGCACTCTGATGTATTCCCTAACCTGGCACTGAAAACAGCTTGAGTAGAAATCTCTGAATTTGAACTCTGCTGTGGGTAGACCAAAAGTTTTCTTCCTTTTTCTTTCAAAAAGGCAAATGAGCAACAAAAAGCCGAGAATAGCATCCTAATCATAGATCTGGATGGGTAGATTTTATTTCTGCCACTTGTGCTGGGGACACTCAGGAGGTCTCTGGCTTTCTATCTCCATTTCATCAACTGTAAAGGGGAAGTGATGCTTACATTTGTAAAGCACTTGGATTCACTGATGAAAAATGCTAAATAAGGGCTAGTTATTAGTGATTTGAATCAATCCTCCTTCTGACTATCTGATTGTTTAAGTGCCTGGATTAATACACAATTTTTTTGTCAAAATAGGTTTTGAGTTTATTGCACAAAACCTGCATTCCCCCTCCTATATCCTCCTTCCAGAGAAGATGGGTGTATTCGAAAGAAGTCCATGATTCTTCCAACCTTTGCAGCTGCTCTAGTGAGACACAGCTCTTCAGTGAGCAGCTGCCTTTAAAAGCTTGTTTGACTGCTCAGCAGATACCTATTCATGTGGATTTGGAAAATAAACTTACAGATATCTCACACTCTACCTTTACCATGTCTTGGTAGGCAAATGGTCAAAACATTGCTTTTTTGTAGTATTGACACCCTGTCAGATTCAATCACTCTTTCATGTAAGTAGCATTATATGATTCTATTGTATTTGCTTAAGAGCTTTTCTCAAGAAACACCAGTTTGTCTTGAGGAAAGAACTTAATATAAGATAGTGATATAGTATTCTAAAACAGGATACTATTTTTAACTGTTAATTGAAAGGTATGCGTGTATATAAACCACACATCTAATGATCAGATGTGCCAGAATATTATTTGGAACTTAACTGGTGTAAATTATCATATTTACACTATGAAAAAAATCCTGATGAACCTTTTGCCAAGAGTTTTTGAAGGAAAGTTTCTCTTTTTCAGCATTTTGTTTTATAAACGGTATCTAATTACTTCCTAGGGTCAAGATTTTCATTACAAAAGAAAGAGGCAGAATATTCTGCAGATAATGGCAATGGATACTTAAGCCAATAAGTGTTCATTTAAAGACCATATGTTTAAATTATATTTATCTAGTTTGACCTCAATGTGGTAGAGAGGTCTGAAATCCCAGCCAGGAATTCATCCTTCGAGTCCAAGAATTTGACTTTCCAGTTAAGTACGACACCTGGTACGTTGGCTATGGAGAAGGTGGCTGTTTAATAGGCAGGTTTGCACAGTCTTAACCAGTATTATGAACTCCGGGCTAACATTTGGGCCTCTTCTTAAAAGTATTCAGGAGTAAGAGAGCCAAGTGCCCGCCTGTTTTCCTTGCTTTTTGGGAAAAGTCATGGAAAGTTCTTTGTGCAGTTCTAAAATTCTGCTTTCCCCCTACTGGCAAAGCAGTATTAAGTATCAATATTCATTAAATACCATAGAGATGATAATGTAATAAAAGAATAATCCTCAGGCCCACACCTATACTTCTCTCCAGAAGGGCTGAAGTTGAGAATATAATTAAAGATTAAACTCTGTTTGCATTCTGGAACATGGAGATATCTTTTTGTACATGATGGGGAATTGTATTAATAAGGAAGAGATCAGTTTCCAATAACTTTCAATGCTAGAAGCTCATTTAATATCCCTGTTCATGTTTAAGTTTCTCCTGCCATTCCTTTAGCTTGACTTTTGCAAGACAGTGCGGCAGGAACTGTAAAAGAACATATTGCTCAAATATAAGACCCTGTTGCTCTATAAGTTAATCCTTTTGATTTAAAGAAAAAAGATTTTTAAAAAATGGTTCCTTACAATGTAAGACAATAATATTTACATGAATAGTGGTAATAATTTTGCAGCTGTGCACCATGTAGATGCATTTATTTTAGTATTTGGTATCTTGAGCACAGTTTCGACCACATTTTACTGTTTTCTTTTTATTT